CTAAGCATTGATCGAAAATTTCCACACTAATTTAAACTTCGATGACATATGCTCACACACAAAGTACTTATGGGTATTAGAGTGGCCTGAACATTCACTGTTTGTTAAATTATGGTTTAGTTCGGCAACTTGGCACATTTATGGACTTCTCATACGGCGTATAATATTCTTTACTGAAAGCACATTGCACTTTTCATCATAATCATTGTAAGCCGGTACTTTCGAAGCTAGTTTAGGTTAGGTTAGGAGAGCGTGTGTGGAATATTCCATACTTTCACTCCGAAACAGAATAGAATTGAGTGCCCTCTTTTAGTGAGTGTCAGGAGGAGACACGCACCTATAATCGAACGAGTAGCTTTAAGTCATTATTCTACTGAACCAATTACTATCCCAGATGAAGCCGAGTAGATCCAACAGTTCCACCTCTGCTACCTCGCCCAGACTGTTGAAAAAGCGTGAACCCAAGTGCTTGTATCGCTTAGTCTGTAGACCTAGACATCGACACAGATAGTGGTCAATTGACTCTTCCTCATCCTCACCATGGTAGCCCCTGCAGAGTGTACTCGTTGGTATTCGCCACCATTGAAGAATTGGTGCTATAGCACAGTGTCCTGTGATAACGCCGGTAAGGACTCTTACTGCAGATCTAATGAGTTTTCCTACTAAGCCGCGGCCATAATAATCTTGTTGTCTCACAATCTTCCCGTTTGTTCCACCAGGCATCCGTCACGGCTACGGTGTACTCATTAATTTTCCTACGTGATCACCAAACGGTGGTTATGCGGAGCTATCCGCTTCTTCTATTGGCATCCTGAGCCGCCTCTTGCCATCTCATTAGCGGACTCATTCCCTTCAATATTGCTATGTCCGGGAACCCGATTTCACTATTTTAGAACCTATTGCCCTCAGTTCTGCCTGACTGTCGACAAAAATAGTGGCATTGTCTTCTGGAACTCTACTACTATGTAAAATACTAGCCGCCTTCTCTATAGCGTAGATCTCCGCTTGGAAGACACTGCAGTCATTCGGCAGATGAAAGGACCGGTTGATCTGAAGGTCCTTCGAGTAGACATCGGCGCCGGTTCCTTGTTCTATCTTTAAACCGTCAGTGTAGATGGATATACCTCCCCTTTGCTTTTCAACGGTCCTTTTGCCCGTGTAATATACTGCTAGAGATTTCTTGGCTCTCTCCTCTAATTTTTTTTTCCAATTTATATTGGGAGTCCAGAATACTTCCAAGGTTTTCTGCCTAATTTCGGCAGAGAAAAGGCTAAGAATAGCAGAGAAGCTAGCTTCTATCCTTTCTTTTTACCTCTGCCAATATCTGTTAAGATGGGCGAACTTTAGCTTAAATAGGTTAACAGGTTTAGAATACCGATAATAAGCGATATAGTTAGTCTTGTAATAAATTACATTTCCTAACTAGGCTACGTGAATTTTGCTACTTTTCTTGAATATACTATAATGTCAACACCTCTTCAAGAGCTATGTGGTTAATGTACTTTCAGGTTAATATAGACGTCATTTTTTTAGCAAAGACAGGTGACTCTCGACTCAAAAAATTACCGCTACTAAGTATCAATGGAATCGTTGATTTAATTGAAAAGAAAAAGATTGTTTTCAAAGTATACAACTTCTTCAGAGCATCGGGAAATGGGACTGAATTGACAGTCGTGGGCCAGCTATCAATTTGCGTCGTTCAGAGGAAGAACTGTTGTCGCGGAATCAGAAATGATTCCTTGTAGACTATCAGAACCAGATTACCGAAACCAAACGAAATAGTTTTCCAATTCTGAACAAGTGGAGAATGTGCCGAACTAACAGGAAATAACATCCCAATGTCAGCGGAATGGTTCCTAAACTCTAAGTGTATACTCATGAAAGTGTTTTAGCTTAAGATATAGCTCTCACGAATGTCATAAGGAAGCTGGGAAAGTTGAAGATCTTCCTTTGCGACAATGCCTCAAAAACAGTTCAGCGAAAGTTTGGACTATCAGTATATAGTCCTTATAACAGCTACTGAGTGCTGGCGTCTTTGGGTCTACGCATGAAATGTATAAAGCAGTTTTCCCCAGTGAGGAAGAGTCCTTTGAAGAAAACACAATTCTTCTCGAGTTTCTTAGAGACTAACAATAAGTTGGCGTTTAAAAATCAGCAAAAGTTCGTTACTTCGTATAGTAAGCCAATTATTGTCTTCGTCTTAGGAAGGAGAGCCTAATTTGGATGTCATCCAGATATCAAGTTGCAAATAACCCGTTTGAAGAGTTCTTAACATTTTATAAAAACGGATATGTTGAAGACATTTATGAAGGTAACAACGTGTAGACGAAAATGATTATTATTATTCGCTTATGGGGAAAACAATCGATAACTTCCAAAAAAGTAAGCACCTGTTGATTTTCACATACCAGAATTAAAACAAAAACCGTTGTCTACATGCTTATATTTCGTAAAAGTAACAATGGGCGAAGGCGTCAAACGACCGTATAGATGTTCATAAATGCATGTAGGAAGCTCTCTGTGAGCGCTGCCACAATTGAAACAGAATGAATCATATTAAAAAAATAAACACAAATACAAAAATACATACATAAAAAAATAATACAAAAAACCCAAATTTAAAACCCAAAAGCCAGATGACAGGCAGATAATTAGCTGAAGTGAATGTATTTGGAAAAGACCAAAATGAAGTGTATGAAAAAAGTAAAAAAAAACAACTACAAGGCAAAACTTGAAAGTAAAACTAAAAGCAAAGCGTAAAATTATTAAAAATTAAAAAACTAAAGCGCAACCATTTTCGGTACCTTAAAAGACCCAAAAAAGAAGAAAAACGATATTTAAAAACCAACACAATTACCAGCAGGGTTTTCTCACCACAACCGTAGGTGGCCGCACCAAAAGCGATAAACACAGCTTGCACCGTTTACATGTGAGTCACAGCGTTATAAAAACACGCAACCATTTATACAGTTAAGTTGCTGAAATAAAATTTCACAAGATTGAACTGTTACCGGTGGGAGAACAGTAGGGAAATCCTTCTTTTTTTTGTGCAATTAATACGTATGTATTTTGCTAAGAGGTTTAACGGGTTATTAGTTGTATATGTACTTGTATGTTAGTAGTGTGTAAGAGTTGAAAAGTAAAAAAAAAAGACTTGTTAGTGCAAGGAACTAAGTAAGTAATAAGAAGCATCACTTTAAATAAGTTAATAGCCAAAAACAAATTTCTAAAACAAGCTTTCTAAATATAAGTTAAGTCGGACCATAAATATGGGATTGTCGACACCTTGCGGATCACCGCTTCCATATTGCATTGTCATCGGGTTATGAGCTAAGTTTGAAGTTTCAAGTCTCAGGTTCATCGGGAAGTTGGTGAAATATTGATTACAAAATTCTAGGACGTTCATTCATACAGGTGAAGTTAAATAAAAGCTTGTAAAAATGAACAAAAAAACATCTGAGCATTGGTATGATATTGCAAAGAATCGAAGTTTTTAAAAGCCGGTTGAGAATCGCAGACAAAGTAGGTCTGAGGTACATGACTGAAAAACATAGTGAGGGAAATGGAAGCAGAGAGAAATAATGAGAGTAATATATAGAATACAAATAAGGCATGAACAAAAATGGAAAGAGGAAACAAAAGCGATAAAGATAGCGAGGAATGGAAGGAGAAAGGAGATAAACGGAAGGAGAGAGAGTGAGTAAGAAAGAGAGAGAATAGCAACGAAATCTTTTTATACATAAGTATACTTGCCTTCTCCCAGGACCCAGCGTCTGTCTAGCGTGTAATGTATTTTTCAGTAACTGATGCCAATTCACAATGGCTTCACGCTGTGGATTCCACTATTCCGTATAAACAATTTGAATGGCCGATCTCTGTCAAACATCGTATTTTTCATAATTTTAAGATGGGAGAAAAACATTCGACCAACAAGTACTGTCGAGATATTAGTTTCACAGCAAGTATTGCCACTTAACATTTATGTATATCTTCTGTGTTGCTTCAGGAGCTCATGAAGAGATGATATGCACCCATCATCCTGACAATTTCTTTCATACACCAGGTGGGAATTATAAAATGAATTACATATCAGAATCTACCCATCGAGGCCAGTTTGCAAACTATCTAGTTAATTGTGTATTATAAATCCAGCATTCTAATTACCGAGGAGAAATTTTAGCGTAGAAATTTGAGCTACAGTAAAAAAAAAATATGGAAAAGTAACGCGATTTGTTAAATACCGAGGCCTCCATACATTTAATGATTGATCACTGATTGGCTGCCAGAACCAGGCTCGCTAGCAGCTTCGTATTCGATTAAGGGGAAAAAACTCAGTGTGAAAGTGTGGAAGGATTTAAGCATGGAAAGAAGGTTCGAGATTCTGTCCTCGCAAGAGAGTATTTTTTATTCTCCAAACCAATACTCTATATAACACAGTCTGTTAAAGCAGTTACCAATAAGTTTGATGAAATTATATTAAATGTTTTTTTTTTAGTTTATTTTGATTGCTAATCCATTTATTTCATTCAAAAATTTCTGTCTTATTTTATTTTATTTTTTCAATCGTTCCTTATCATTGGATTCCCTTCCAATCCCATCTCATCTCCTACTCGTTGCCTTCCATTTTATTTCCTCTCATTTCTTTTAATTTCCACTCGTTCCCTTTAATTCCATTTCTTTCGTTATTAGCATTCGGTTCGTTTCATTTCACATACAGTCATATCTTTCATTTCCATATCACTCCTTCCTAATGCCAGATTTACACCGGTCATTGATTGTCAAAAATTGTAATGACAAAGTTGGAAATTAAAATATATTCGGTGCATTACCTTACGCAAATAGTCATCGAGTGCGTTTCCACTTGGCATTTTTTTAATGACAGAATTTTTTTTTCTGTTATTTCAATGCCTAGTCGAAATCCAGCTTAAATTGGTTGTAATTCAATAAAATTGCCTGAAAATATTTTAAGAAAAATATGCATCTTTTCTTATGTTACTCACATTTCTGCTTAGTTTTGTCCATTGCGGCACCGCTGGTATCCTCTATTCTATACATAAATGTAGATTTCTTTATAACTGCTGCTTACACGAAAAATTCTATAAATTCACTTGCACACATACACTAATAATGCGCGTGCACAGGGGGATACATGGGGGATCTGTGTGTGTACGTGGGTTATGATGGTATGAGTTTGACAACAACAAGAACACTGACACTGACTGACTTTGTTGCACACAGAATTTGCAACTTTTTTGTTTTGTTTGCACTTTAATACGCTTTAACACACTGTTGGCCGTTGTAAGCTAACAAACACTTTTTACTAAGCTTTTCTTGCACTTTTATAATATTATTTACTTTTATAATATTAATGCCTTTGTAATGTAATTTAATTTTGCAATTAATTTCTAATACATTTTTCGTGGCTTTCTTAAATTTTTTGTTTAGATTTATTATAAGGTTTTTGGCGTTTTCTACTCATTTATTTATTTCGTAGATATACTTTTTCGTTGTTTTACATGCACACCACTACAGTGTGGTGTGAAAACGGAGCCACTTGTTTGCTATGCCGCAAAGTACTTTGTCGCTTTTTAACATTCAAATATAACGGTGACATTTTCACTGTTTAGCTTTGCTATTTTTCACTATTTTATTTGTTTTTATTTACTTTGTTTAATGTTTGTTTTACTCTTACTTTTGCATAAACATTCACATATCTGTTACTTGAGACTTATTTCTACATTACTGGGGGGACACACAACATTTTTCGTGTTTTGTTTTTGCTTTTCCTATAGCTTTTGTAATGACCTTTTTTACTGATTTATGGTAGTACTTCTTTGTGTCAAATATAGTACTTTTTCGAGATTTCTAGTTATTGTTGTATTTATCTACAACTTGTTGAGATTTGTAAAAATTTTCCACCAAAGCTAACGCGAAGGATTTCTAGGCATACTCAAGAACCGTACGCCATTTGAATTAGCAGTTGGCTGAAAAGAGAAGAATGAAAATGTCAAGATTAGTATAAAGGCGTTATCGTGTCAAAAAAATTTAGTGTACGTATATTTTTAAAAATAATTTTGGATTTTTGTTTAAAGGTTTACTAATACGATTTTTGTATTAAAATAATTTGCCGCTTGGCGCTAAAAATAAAATTTTTCCAAAAATCTCGACACCAGCGCCACGTGGCGGCTAATTTTTTAAGACCAAACACCTATAACCTGCTCTGGTTAACTCTGCTACTACTGGCGAAAGTCAAAATCGATTAAGCCGTCTCTGAGTTTAGCGCGAACAAGCACGAATACAATTTTTTTTTAGTTGATGGAGGAGAACTTGTTCAGGTTTCACATAGATTAGTATTTTTAGAAGATTATTTTTGGCTATTCACAGCATAAGCCCACTTCTGTTGAAAGTTCCATCGAGATTTGTTCGCATGTTGCAAGATTACCGTAAACAAGCAGGCGGAAAGAATAAAATCGTTTGTTTAGTTCTTCCTTAAACCATGCCATACATATGGACTATATTGAACGCATTTTTTGGAAAATTTATTTTCGACAGCAGCAGAAACAATTATGAAACTCTCGCCCGCCTGCTGGTGAAAAATGAGTCTACCGCCCCCGCAAAACACCCACCATTCAGCCTATTCAGTTCCTACTTCTATTTGGGCACTTTTGCTATAGGCCAACGTATTTCTCGAGCTGGATACACTCGATTTAGGTTTAAATATAAGCCTCAAATCTCGGTTCCGCTGAGAAGCTATTAAGTTATAGTCCCCTAGTATTGGCGACTTGATCGAACGATCAGTTATTTTTCAATCGAACTAATCTACTTTTTACGCTTGGTATTATTGTGACACATAATTTTGATCTTTTAGAGGACCAAAGTAGTATCATTTCGATCATCCTGTGCCAGTTTACCTAGTTGACAATCCCACCAGCTTTGTAGAGGATTGTGTTTTACCAGCTTCGGATTCGTTTATGGGTTTCTGCCGCCACTGATAAGGCTTTTGTAGCTTAAACTTAATTTAGTATCTGAGGCCTCCAATGCGTTTAAAACGGCCGAGTTTCAGAAGATCCCATAAGAAAAACTAGGTATATGTAGGTCCCTGACATGGGCCCCGGCCAACATGGTATAGTACCAAAAGTCAGCCGAAAACTGCAGCGGTTCCTTTACGCATTCTCTGCATTTAAATTAAATTCAAAAATGCTGAAAGTTTCCGCGACTTAAAAGCTCCGGCTGCAAGTTTCAGTTGCCCAAGTTCCAAGAACATCCTAAGGTGTCCTAGGAAGACATTCCTGACCGGTCTAGCTTCCTTTTAATACCTCTTAGTTTAGAAAACAACCTCTGATTTCTTACCGGAAACCCCAGCTGTGAAAGCAATTACAGATTGGCCCAGAACTACTTTCAGCATGCCATTTTATTCATAGGAAATGTAATGGCATAAACAATCAATCACGCCATTTCTGACAGAATCGCTGCCATCAATTTAATTCAATTATAATTAGAAAATCCAAGCTACATCTAGAGCAAAGGAAATTATGAAAAAGAAAGAGATTTCTGCACACCTAAATATGAGGAAAAATATACAAAGCGCAACAGCATTCATTACGAGTAGATTTAAGATAACAACAAAGATTTGTTCAGCAAAGAAATGGGAGAAAGTTAGAAGATCACGCTACTTGAGAAGACGCCTACATGCAGGCATGCATTCAATGAGAGTCAGCCAAAGCAATGGCAGCTTCCTTGGCTGTGTGCTGGCTGATTGACGTAGAAACATATGTATGAGCGTATTGCTGTCCCCTTTATCTCACACAAGCCCACACACACACACACATACATGAAACAACGCTGATGCCACAAACGGCAGCCTAGGCGTATAAATCAAATCAAATTATGTTTAGCGTGTAAGCAAAGCGAACAGCTGCAACGCGCACGCGCGACAATCTTACCACCAACGAATGAGCAAACAAGCAAGTGAATGAACGAATAAATGACACAAAAAGAGTCCGGAACACATGTAGAAAAACACATGCACAAATGTATATGAACGCCACAGTAATCTGCTCATCACTTACTTTTCGTCTCTGCCTACACGCGCGCGTACAAATAAGAACAAATGCATATGTACGCGAGTCAAACGCCTAATGTTTACGAAATGAGCGCGGCAGTTTGTAAGTACTTAATCCCTGTTCCTCTGGCTGCGATGTCTCCACTTTTGTTATTATTATTGTTATGACAAGTTTTTTTCGCTAGTTTTTTTTTTGCTTTTAATCAACTGTTCGGACGCCGCAATCAGCGTGTTAAAAAGATATGCAGACAGTTGTTGCTGAGTTGTGGGATATGGGAAGCAGGTTTTACAAGCAAGAACTTGACGACGAGTTGTTGTTGTTCTTGTATTGAAACAACAAAAAGGTGAATGTACGGTGAAGACGCTGCTGCTGTTGCTGCTCATATTCGACGGCGCAAATGAGACGCAAATGTGAGCTATAGATCATCAGACGATAACAGACGAACGAATATAGAAATGAAAACAGAAAGCAAGAAACAGCAGTAATGGTAAAAAGGGAAGTTGTAGAATGAGCGCCAAATAAATTAGAATGGAAAAGTGGCGCAGCAGCGAGAAGAAATCAATAAAATCTGGGGAATACAAAAGTATTACAGCAGCGCATTCGCGAGGCGGGAACTTGTCGGAAGAGAAGAATTGAGAAGGGCGAGAATGTATAGAAAGGCGTATTCTGATTTGTGTCTATTTGCTGTCTATTCTTGGTACAAGCACGCGCAGCTTCCTTTCCGCCTCCTATTCACAGCTATTTTCGGTATTTAATTGACGCCTAAGCGATTCGGTTTTTTCCTTTAATCTTTTTTTTAGATCTTCACCACGGTTGTTGTTGTTGTTGTAGCAGCATACAAATTCCCCAAAGACTTTTTGGGGAGTCTTGCTGGAGTGACAGTCCTTGGCCAGATATAAATCTGGGTCGTTCCGGTTACGTAGACCCGACTGTCGTGGGAACGGTCGCCACTGTTGGTTGTTTCCAAACGAACTTGGTTGTTTTTTTTTTTCGAATTTGGTTGTTTTGTAGTTTTTTCTTTGATTTGGTTTTTTTTTTAATTAGAAATTAGCAAATTTTTTTGTAAACAAAATGTGTTATTGCATACTGAGTGCCAAAAATGAATAAATGAATTTTTGAAATTCTTATTTTTAACGTAACATTCCTGCCAGCAAAATATCCGGAAATGTATCCGAAAATGGAAACCATTTCGTATAAAACCCTGATGTTTCATCCGTTTTCCGATTCCGCATTCGGTCGTTTTTCGGATCCATTCTCCCACTTAAGTCTTCATCGGAAACGTATGTACAGAAAACTATCGAAAATGGTTGTAAAACGGATGCGATTTCCTGAAATTAGTCTGATAAAATTTTTCGTTGAAAATGAGTTCATTCTGAACTTCACCGAAACTTTTCACAATTTTAAGATTCAGGAATTATTTGAATCTGTACACTCAGCTACTGGCGAATACGTATACATGTTTTCAAACCCTCCGTGTGAACATATATTTTGAAATTATTGTTTTGAAAAATCATGATAAGATTTTTCGGATACAAAAACCAATTTGGCTTTTTTTTTTTAACAAGTGGCAGCCGTGATCTTCACTCGAAAAATAAGCCAGAAATTTGTCTCAAAGCAACTCATTTATTTTTATATAACTCCCCCAAGTACTATGGGGCGAACCCCCTGCACTACTCGCGCCACCTTTCGGCAAACTATCACTCGTTTCGCACTCTTCGTACCCTTTGCAGTCCATTCATCCGCATCACCACCCCTTTTTCGTTGCTTCCCCGTATCGCAGACAGCGCTAGGCATTACTACGGATATCTATAACGGAAAGGGTAAACATTTCAGAGAATAGCGATCAATTGCGGGTTAAGAGACGCGTGAAAATTTTTGGAATGAAATACTGAAGAAATACCATAACAACACTATTTAACAAAACGTTTGAACTAAAGAAGCCGAAGTTCTGTGAACGAATAGTAACGAATGATGCCTTACGAAATTCATAAACTGCCGATCTGCTGAATATCGAAAATTCGAACTGATTTGTAGAACGAGTTTGTGTTGAACGATCCACCCGAGGTAAAAATGTCTTAAGCTGATGCCAGATAAAACTTTGTAGCTTTGCGTGACATTTATAACTTTGCCAGCAAAGCGCCAGACGCAAAAGGTATGCCACAATGAACGCTAAGAAAGCAATTTTGTACCGCTGTTTTACTCGTAAAAGTTGCTGTGGATTTTATATACTTTGCTTTAAAATTGTCAGCAATGTAATTAAGTTTTATGTTTCTGCATGAAAACCCGAATTTGGACGAAACAAAATAAATATTAAACCGGCTGATTGTCAAAGCGCGCAAAAAGATGGGAGTTGGCCATCTTTTCGCTTCGCGCTGCAGCTTCAACGATTTATGTGGCATGCTTTGTGCATTTTCATACAATTCATCTTATCTGTCAAAGCGAATCTGTCACGTAAAGCGAAGCAAAAGTTTTATGTGGCATCAGCTTTAAAGTGATTGAGGCAAGCAAGAGAAGCAGTAGTGGAAGGCAAGAGTTAGTTTCTAGATAGATGAAATTCTTCCTGCAGTATTCCAAGTATTCTTAGAAGCAATTGCTGATTTATTTTGGTTTACTTTTTGTATTGCTTCCAGCTTTTCTTGTGAATATTATTCATAACGTGACGAAGTGGACATAACATTAATTTTCGAGGAAAAATATACTCATGTAAGTACTCCGCAAAGAAAAACCTGTAGCCGACTGAAAAAGCGCACAAGCTACACAGAAAAAGCGTAGCAAAAACGGAAATACAATGAGTATGTGAAAAAAGGCAGGTAAAGCATTCAATTACAATGAAGTGGCAAACATGAGGAAACGTGTATGTAACGCCGCTGAGTAACGGTGGGCACAGCGATGCAGACGATGACGACCGCAACGACGACAAA